GTTCAGACTTCTGAAGCGGTTTTCTCGCCTCACAAGCAATGTTTTGCATTCGAGACCGGGCTCTGATCTTGAGGAGTCCGCTTCAATAAACTGTTGGAACTGAGGAGCTCTAAATCTGCGCGGACCCTGCCTTTAACTGTTAACAATCCGCTCTCGAAAGGCATCAGCGTTTAATAGCTGTGTGCGATGGGCGAACTCGCGAATGAGTGACTGGTATCAACCTGGGATCGAAGTCACTGTACTGTCACAAAGACTCTGTCGATGTGCTTCAGCAAATAATAGACCAGATACATGCACATAGTGCGTCCTATTGAATAGTTCAGTGAAGAATCAGCGAGGCTTGCCGTAGTTTGTGCAAGGAAGAAATTATTGGATTGATTAATTAATTGCAAAGTCAATGTAGTGAGGACTAAACTACAAGTACAGCTTTCCAGTGAATTGTCGCACGTTCAAAGTAATGCTGCATTTTGCAATGCAAGTTGTTGCTCTTTTGCATCAGCGTATTTAGTATCAACTTTGTTTACGCAAAAATTTTCTTCACGTTTATATCGTTTAGTGTAAGATACTTTTTTAATGAAATTTCCTTTTATGTTTTTTCCACAACTTGCTAAAAATCGCTTACTGAGTTTAATCCTTTTAGTGAATTGTTTGTGCTGGTGTTTCTTACCCTGTTATGTCAATGCGGGACATTGGCAAACCTCCGGTTCGTGGCAAAACTTCGCCTTATGGCTTCTTCGTGAAGATGTGCTATGAAGAGCACAAAAAGAAATATCCGAATGAAAATGTGCAAGTGACGGAGATCTCAAAGAAGTGCAGTGAGAAATGGAAGGTAAGCCGCAGATCTAGTTTTTGTTGTATTTTATAATTTCTTATGCTTTTTTAGACTATGTCGGATGATGAAAAGAGACGATTCTATGAATTGGCACAAAAAGATGCTGAAAGGTATCAAGCAGAGGTATGTTGCTTACTTTTACCGTGTTGAATTTTGATCATTACCAACATCAAACAAACATCTTCATTTGTTACAGGTAGCTGCATACGGTGGTGAAGATGCCATGCGAAAGCGAAAGCGTGCCAAGAAAGATCCCAATGCACCAAAACGTGCCCTGTATGTTTGCAAGCGCAAGATCGCTTTCGCTTCATGACTGAAATATTTTGCAGGTCCGCGTTCTTCTTCTTCTCACAAGATCGAAGACCCGAAGTCCAGCAGATGCATCCAGAGTGGAAAGTTGGACAGGTATCGAATCCGCTGTTTGTCTTAAAACACAATGCTCTTCCAACCATTGCGATTCAGGTTGCTCAAGAACTGGGAAGAATGTGGAAGAATGTCTCCATGGATGAAAAAGATATGTACGAAAGAAAAGCGCTTGCAGATAAGGAGAGATATGCAGAGGTGAGTCCTTGAACTATGAGATTACTGCTTTTCGATTGTGCTGTCGAAACATGACAAAATGGGACATACATGGGTTCTTTACAATGTCTAAATGTCGCAAGTTCAAATTTACAATCTTGCCTTTGGGAAATCATCTCAAAACATTATCCTCAGTCATTGCCATGCTGAGGATGACATATCTATCTCACATGTTATGGCGCTCTGCAATTAGCAGCTCGTTTGAAATGGATATGTCATTTCCACAATGGCAGCAAGTACCCCCTATTGCCTTTGGCCTCGGGCAGAGTTCGCGCGATTCTATCGCCGCAATTTTCCAGCAAGAGAAACAGTTACGAGTCTATTGTATTGCCGATTATCTTGGATTTCGATTGTGATAGTCAGATTGGTCGTGTTGGAGGATTATCACAACCGAAATGCAAGATAACTGGCATACGATAGACTCGTAACTGTTTCTCTTGTTGGGAGAATCGCG